TCTTGTCAATGCAAGCAAAACTCTCCTCCCCTGGCAGCTCCCATTCACTCCTCAACAGCAGCAATTTTCCTGTGGGATGAAGCTGGGAACAATCCATCCTGTTTACCTGTTCTTGGTGCTCTGTGCCACCTCCTCTTGCCGAGGCACAGGCTGCAAAGGCAGCATCACCCCTTGCCCATTCATCAGGCTTTGCTTCACGTCCCTTCCCAAAAGTTCATCTGCAGTTTCTGCAGATGGATTAGGGACCAGGAATGTGTGGATGTGTCCCTTCCAGACCCTCAGGCTGAGATCAAAACCCCAGGGCTCCGACAAGGAGCACCACTATCCAGCACAAAGAACAAGGTTTTGTTCCTTAAAGACAGGCAAAACTAAAAAATAAAAGCTGCAGTGGCTTTTTGCTTCTGACAAGCTGGTTCCAGCCAGGTAAGTGGGTTTGCAGCCCTGAAATGATCCTCTAACAGTCTCCAGGGTGTTTGATCTCCCTTTCAGGAATCCTACAGCAGAATCTGCTGGGGAAAGTGCAACATTTGTAGGAGCAGGTACGAAATTTGGCAGGTTCCCCGAGTCAGCAGCTCGGCTTCCTTCCCAGCCTTGTGCACTGGTGCCTCCCAGTGCCTGGAAAAGGGAGAAGCAGAAAGCTCCAGAAGAATTGAAGTTTGTTTCAATTCTTTTTTTAACTTTCAATTTTAAATCAAAGTATTCCTTGCTATCATAGAATCACAGAATCTCAGAGTGGTTTGGCTTGGGGAAAAACCTTCATGATCATCAGGTTCCAAAGCAGGGACACCTTCCACTAGACCAGGCTGCTTGAAGGCCTATCCAACCTGGCCTCAAGCACCTCCAGGGAAGTGTTACATACCTGTTGATGCTTTGGGGAGATCAGGAAATCCTGTGTGGGCTCAGGGAACAGCCAGGGAGCCCTGGGAATGGGTGGAACGAGGCTTCTCCCTGCTCGGTTTAGTGCATTAACCACAAAGTGCTGCTGCTCCCCACCTGCCCCCTCCAGCCCCAGCAGCCACAGAACGAACCAGGAAGAAGCTTCAAAGAAGAGAAAAATTACTTTATTACTTAAATATGGGCCAAACAGAAAGCTGAGGTTTCAGTACCACCAGCACAGGACACCATCCCTGGAAGTGTTCAAGAAATGTGTGGGTGTGACACTTTGGGACATGATTTAGTGGTGGAGTTGGCAACATTGGACTCAGTCCTTGCAGGGCTTTTTTAGCCTCCTTCATTCTGTGCTTCTGACTCATCAGGGGAATTTTGGCTTCTGAGACCAAACCAACAACCCAGCTGCCAGCTCTGGGATGCCTCAAGCACCAGAGGTTCCTGCTCTGGATCACCTGAGTGTTTCTCACCCACCACATCCCTGGGCAGCCAGTTCCAGTGCCTGGCCACCCTTTCTATAAAAAAAATCTTTCCTAAGATCTAAGCCAATCCTCCCCTGGCTGAGGGAGAGCCAGGCACAACTTGAGGCCATTTCCTCTGGCCCTGTCCCTTACCTGGCGAAGGTAACCATAAATCATACATAAATTGTAGATAAATCTGGGTCACACCTAATCCCAGGACGAGGGATTGCCGCTGCCCCGTCCTGTCACCTCAGCAGCTGTGCTTGTACTGTCCCACCCTCGGAGCAGCGCTCGGGGCACGCTGAACCCCACCAAACACGGGGGGCTCTGCTGCTGCAAGCCTGAGGTGCAGATGTACAAATACCTGGACACAGTGGGAGACTTCTCCAGGGTCAGGCTGTTCAGGTATAAGCAGTTTATTATTTGGGTAGAGGGAGGAAGAGACTCGTTTCTGCTGCCAGCCACGGTGTAAATGTGATCAGGGAGGAAGAGAGAAAGTGGAGAGAGGAGTTGGGGAGCATGGGAGAAGGAGGTAATTAAGGGGGTAGAGAAAGAGGGGCCAGAGGGGGTAAGAACAGGGAATAAGAGAAGTGAGAGAGGGTAAGAGACAGGGGAGAGCACTTAAGAGTGTGGAAGTTAAGAGAGCGAAGCTCTTGTTACAATACATTATATCCTTCTCTATAGTGAATATTCTAATTCCCAGTAGCCAACCACTACATGACACACATTCAAAATAATTTATATATATATATAATATATATAATATATATATACATATATTTATATACACATATAGCCTATAAGAACTACTACATTACCATACAGTGCTACATTTTAAACTCTAAAAGCCTTTCAAATTCTTCTCTTGCTGCTTGACCTTCGGATTCTCTATCATCAGAAGGGTATTTTTCTATCAACAGGGATTCTCCTTCAGCTGGCTAGGCTATTGTTCTTTGGTTATATGGTCACTAGCACTCAGTATCCTATGGCTCAAAGCTAGCTCTCATTTCTATTTCGATTCTAGGTTTCGTGTTTTATCCTCCCCAGCACTGAGGGAGCCTGCACAGGTTTGGTCAGCACCTTCACCACAGCTTGGTTGGGGTTTTGACCTCATCCAGCAGGTAAATAGGAATATTTTGGGGTCAACCAGGCCAGGTCTGTGTCCTGTGCTCCCAACCCAAGGCCACCACAGCAGGAAGAGGTGGCAGCTCCCTGGAGAAAGCCTCGTGTTTGCTTTGCCCTCTGGTGGGCACTAAAGCATTTCAGGGCTGAACTTTCTGCCTCATTTGTCTATAATTTCCCTACAAGAGTGAAATAAGAGATTTGGAATGTTAGTGTCTTCCCCTGTATAATGAAAGGATTAATCTCAGCCTTCCGTGCTGTAAAGACCTGGTCAAGCCTCTAAAGGGGGGAAATGATGCCTTAAGTTTAACTTCCATATTTTTCATATTCTGCACTGCCCAGGTGTGCAGTTTTGAGCTACATATGAAGAGTTAGTGAGCTCTCTTCACAGAGCAGGTATTCCAAACAATTCCTTCTCCAGCTGGACACCAGGGACAATCCTTACAAGTTTCAGGCCCAAAAGCAAAAACAACGATTGGCTGAAGAGAGAAAAAAAGAAGGGTGGGACTTTATAGCCTGAAGCTCTAACTGGACAATTAATCCTGATATACAAATGGATCAAAACTTATAAAAATGTGAGACCTCATGACCAATCATCCAGTGAGGCCCTGGCCAGGCTCTTGTCCTGCCCAAGGTGTGTCCTTTAATGCCTCTCAATAAATCCCTGCTTTATTCTGAACTCTGTCCAGCCTCTGCTCCAGGTCACCCTTCTCACAGCATCACTGACTGGTGCTTTACCTCTTCATGGACATTATTTCAAGCCTTACATGTCATTTTTACATCAAAAGACATTTATTCCACCAAAGGGAATTTTGTGTTTTGTTTACTTTAAGTGGGAACAGGAACCAAAGACTTCTTAGGGCTCTTTGTTTGGTGTTGCCATTTAATTGCTTTGTAAAGGATTCTTCCAAGGGCCAGAGAAAAATGGCCCAAGGGAATCCCAGAATGGTTTGGATTGGAAGGGACCTTAAAGAAAATTCCATCCCCTGCCATGGGCAGGGACACCTTCCACTATGTCAGGGTGCTCCAAGCCCTGTCCTGAATTTAGGACAAGTGGCCCAGGGCTTTTAAAGCCATGACCACTTGAGAGGGACACTTCACCTGTCCCCACCTCCTGCCTGCCCCTGCTTTTGTGGCCCTGGTTTCCTTCCCCCCCCTCACAAACAGTTTTTCCATGCAACTGGGTCACCTTTGAAAGTCAGCAGAACTGGAGTTACTTTGTTTAAAATAAAAACATGTATTTCTATCACCTTAGGAGTTGTTTCTCTTTCAGCACAGGGACCCTCTGATCCTCCCACCTCCTTTTATCAGCATCTTCAAAAGAGAAAGGGAGTTATAATTGCTTTTTCCCCTCACCACAGAAGAAAGGGAGAGGCTGCTGTTCCCCTCTACTGGCATCCTGAGAAGAAACATGCTTTGAGCAATCAGTTATTTACAGAACAAAAATAACATCTGGATTTCAAAGGGCAGAGCAGTTCAGAAGAATGAGGCTCTCTCCCCCTCCCCAGCCATCAGTTTCTGCTGATTCCCACCCACTGCCTGCACACCCCCCTGCTCTGCCTCTCCTCATCCCAGGGGCTTCTCCCTCTCTCTGAGCATCATTTGCCTTTGCCACAGAATCCCAGAGTGGTTTGGAGTGGAAGGGACCTTGAGATCACCCAGTCCCACCCCCTTCCATGGGCAGGGACAGCTCCCACTGTCCCAGGCTGGCTCCAAGCCCTGTCCAACCTGGCCTTGGGCACCCAGGGATCCAGGGGCAGCCACAGCTGCTCTGGGCACACTCACAGGGAAGGATTTTTCTGGTATTTAATGCTGCCCCCTGTCAGTTTGGAGCCATTAGATATCCTGTGGAGAAGCAGGGAGCAGAAAAATGTGAAGAAACCAGTAGTTCCACAGTAGTTCCTTCTTTCAGCTCTTGGATTTTTGCTTTATTTTCTGCTTCCTGACTCGGCAGAATCCTCTGAGTCCTGTCACACAAAGCATCTCTCCCACACACAAACCCATCCCATTCCAGAGATGGGAAAGCTGAATTTTCTGTCACATTAAGACTTTCATTGCCTTAAAGCTGATGAATTGGTGTCTTCAGAGCCATTACCAAAGGTGGCTGAAATTCCCCAATAAAAGCCCACAAGCTCTTAGTAGGGACAGACAAATTAACGGGCTTGTTCTCATTAAGGCTAAAAATCCACCTGCAAACTGCCACATCCCCACTCCTCCCTGCCAGGCAGCTGGAAAGGCACCTTTGGGATGTGTTCCATCTCATTTCATCACTTCAACACAGAAGTTTTGCAGGAAAAGCCTCCACAAGTCCCTGAAAATAAAGAGCAAGCTTGTTAAAACCACAAAGAGATTCTATCTCCTGCAATCCCTTGCTCGGGTAGCTAAATTCCTATACATGTATTTATAAAAATGTTGGAATTGGCCACAGGGATCACTGAAGGTGCTTGCAAAAATGAAATGATGGATCAAACCTTGTTTCTCATATAATCAATAAATTCCAAACACTGAATGAAGACAATCATTACAAAAAAAAAAAAGCCATTTATTAGATATATGTACATATATACATGCAAAATGATTTTATACACATTTACACAGGTTCAATTATTAATACAGTGCAAAAACGTCTAAAAAGGTACCAGCCCACCTTCTACAAACTCAACAGATCTTTGGGAGAAAGGGGAAAAAAACCCAAAAAATCCAGAGAATTACCAGCTTCATAAAGTGACTAAGCACTGCAAATCTGGAAATTATTGAAGTTTATTCTTTGCCAATTTGCTTGTGCTGAGCTGCTGGGAGAGGAAAAGAGTTTCCAAAAGACTTATCTTGCAAAGTGACAGAATGAAGAAGATGCAATTCAAACCACATTAACCAGTTTAAAGTTGAACAAAAAGGGATGGATTCCTCTTTGGGGATTTGATTCAATACAGGAAAAATCCCAGGTTATGAGTCAGATTTTGTGTTCTCAAACTGCAAGTCATTCTTTTTTATTAAATCTTAAAGCATTGAGATCAATGTAAACTATTCTATTCCTCTTGCTGTTTTGCAAGAGGAGAAAATGTTTAACTGTATAAATACCATGTGAATATGGAATAAATAGCAAATTAAAAATAAAAATAGGTCAAACTCCGTGTGCTCTGCCTCATCCTGGAATCCCAACCCAAACCTACAAAGAGCACACAGACTAATCCATGTGGATTCCTTAATATGATTTACACATATTACAGGAAAATAAAAAAGTTGCAAAGGGATTAAGACCAACTCCAAAACAGCTTTGTCATTTTTGTCATTGGGTAGAAAATATCTGATGATTCAGTCACATCTCCCAAAAATCCACAAAGCAAAAAAAATAGAAGTTTAGGTAAAGGCAGAACTGAACCAACTGATTCGGTTTGATTTTAGTGGAACATTTTTAGGAAAAGCAATTCAAGAAAAGCTGAATTTAACTTTTCTCCTCTCTCTGCTAATTGCACAATTACACAAACACCCTGTTCTACCCCTTGTTTGCAGAGCTGTGGCTGCCATCCCCTGGCTCAGGGATGGATCTGTTTCAGGACAGAGCAGTTGGATGCTCGGGAAGCATCAGGAATGTCACAATTTTTCCAATCAGCTCCCTACCAGGCTGAGGAATGCCCAGCTGTAAATGCTCTGTGTGCCTCAGACCAGAGCAGGGCAGGCTTTGGGCAAGCCCAAGAGAAACATGAAAAGCTCTTCTGGACTCTTTAGCCAGAGGGAGGATAAAAGGCAGGAGCAGGGAGTTGACTTCTGTCCTCAAGTCCATCTCATGAAGTTTGGTCTGTCTGTAGTATAAAACACTTCAACCTTTCCCCACAGGAATGCAGTGGGTTGATACCCAATTTATGCTCCTGGAAAACACCACCAGCCATCAGATCTATTATCCTTAAAGTGTTGCATTTCTAGTGTCAGATTTTTGGGGTGTTCTTTTTTCAGATTTTTTTTTTAACTTGTAATCCAAACTTGTGGCTGAGTTCCCTGCAGTCTCCAGAAGTAATTTACCAAGGAAAACTGGGACTGAACAGTAGGAAAATTAAGAGCAGTACAAAACTCCTCTCATCTGTGGGGTCATCTTGGTGTCTCAGGGACAGTGGTTGAATTGTGGCTTCATTTCTGCATTTCCACTCTGACAGAAAACTGGGATAATGACAGACAAACAACTTTAATCCACTCCCTTATAACAGAAAACCTTTCCCTTATGGCACACAGCTCAAGCTGTGTCCTTAAATGCCTGGCTAAAATATTCCTCCATCATTCCTACCAGACTGTTCCTCAGTTTGGAGGTTTTTATCACGTTGCTGTTACAGTAAATGCAGGGGAAAAGAAATCCCTACGTTTTCCTCCTGAGAAAAGCTCTGGCACTAAGTCTCCTGATGTCCTAGGAACTGTCCAGGTTGTAATGGGCTGCCCATGGATGCTGTTGCTGCAGTCAGCTGCATCCAGAAGTGCTGCCAAGGTACAGCACCACACATTTCAGGTCTGATTGCATCCTGAGATTCCAGGAAAACTCACTGAGATAAAAGGAATTTTGTGAAGTGTTCCTGCAAAAAAGACAACTCTGCTGCACGTTAATCCCTTTGCAACCAGAGGTAGAGACTATGTGAGAGGAAAAACAAATCTTTGGTGATAGAAATGGGGGATGACCAGAAAGAAAAAAAATGAAAGGAAATTTTAGGACCGTAATTCCACAATAACACACCTACAGTTCTCTACATCTCAGTTTGAATCTCTGCAAGGCCTCAAGGACAGCTGCATCAAACTGCTATGCATTTTTTTTAACAGCCAGCCTAAACTATTCATCTATGCCCTAAAATGCCCCTGTGCACCTCGATCCATGACAGAGCAGAACTCCCAGTGCAGCAGAGGTTGGGAATTCCAGCCCTGCAGTCCCCTGCTCCAAAGTGCACACTCAGAAACTCAGCTCAGTGTAAGAAGTCACCACCATGAACCACAGGTGTTTTACAGAACAAAGAGAACCTGCTCGTGCTTCCCATTCCTGGAAATGGTTTTCTACTCACCAGCTACTCATTTTTTTAAAAAAAAAGGTGAGGGAGTCAGTGGCCTGTCATAAACAGGCTTGGAAGATTTATTATCCATAGAGGCCAAGCAAACATGGAATTGCCCTTATCCTAAAAGTGACCTTAGCCAAGGAAACAAAGGCCACAAGAGCTGACAGATCACTTACATCCACCTGGATTATTTTCTGCTGCCCCAAGCATATTTGCAATTAACCCATGAGCACACACTTAACTGCAATGTGCTGTTCAGCCAAGGAGATATTTATAGACTTTATGATTTATAAAAGAGCCACAGCCTTTTCCTGTCCTTCCAAACCTAGAAAAATGACCCTGAAGCTCACCCTCAGCATTTTTCCCACTGATACTACACTCACCTAATTAGAGCAAACAACCTCTTTACTCACATTTACCAAGAATCATAACAAATTCTAGAGACAAAAATGTCACCCCTCACTTTACCTTTGTTTTACAGCACAATCTGAGTATTTGCAGCAGCAGGGCAAGACTGACCAGCCAAACTGTCACAGAGCCAGCGAGACAAATGGCAAAATGCTGTCTGGATGGTGGCAGCCAAGGAGGAAAAGCCTGCTGATGGTAAGAACTTCCACCTGTTGGTGACACCTGACAAGCTCTACCATGCACCCTTTGCTGTGTGTTGGACATAATTACAGTCTCCTGCTTATCCCAAGTTGCTTGGAACTGTTCTCTTTGCAATAACCATTGCCATGGATGGTTAAAAAACACTCTGAGCTATTTTTGGCCAGGTGAATAAAAAAAAAAAAAAGAAAAAGTTGTAAAAACAGAGTAGCAAACCCCAAGTTTGTTTTTTTTCATACACCACAGTCAGGCTGCTTCTCCAGGAGCTGCCTTGTCAGGATCTGGTAGGAGGAAAGAGAAGCCACTCCTATGTGGAAGGAGATTTGCCAGAGGTTCCGTAATCCATACAAGTAGATGTTGCATGAACAGACACAGAAAAGGAGCACAAATGTCTTCACCTTCCTGGCTGAGCTGTAGAAGAGGTACAGGTAACACTGCAGAAGGAGCAGAGAGGGAGAATTAGCATTGAACTCTGCACAAAACCATGGATCCAGCTGGGAATTGTTGCCTGGGACAGCTGGAACCCATCTAATGAGAATGTAAAGAGCAAAACCCTCATAGGAGAAAATGCAAAGCTGCCAGAGCTGCCAGAGGAGTCACTTTTTCCCCTCAGGCAGTGACAGATCAGCCTCTCCCACCTCAGGTCACGATTTCCAACTGTGCTGATGCCACAGGCAGAGGTCAGCACGTGGAAAGCACTGCAGGTTGTGCACAGGCACTTTGGGAAGAAGCTGCTATAAATCAAAAGGAGAAGAAAGAACTTTCCTTTATTCACCTTCCCTGCCTTCAGGTATTCATAGGGAAAGAAGCAGCAGAGCCTTTCTTTGTGAAAAACAACTTGTATCAAGAATTTAAATCTAAATTAATCTATTAGATCTAAATTCTTCTATTCACCTCAAAGCTCTGTCATGAGCAAAGGTGTAAAAAGGCTGAAAGACATAAAATTTTATCATAATTCAATAAATAATCCCATAAATACATTAAAGTCTGCAGATAGTGGTCCCCAAACCATTATCCAAAAGCAAGCAGGGCAGTGAATACACTGTAGGTATCAGTTACTCCTAGAAACAAAACTGCAGCACCTCCCTGCAATGCCAGGCTAAAAGTCAAAGATTTTCCAGCATATATTACCCTCAAGTTAAAGGCTGTGGAATTTTTTTAGGAATTCAATGAGCCTTTCAAGAAAAAACTATTTGGAGCATGTTGTATTTTCTTCATTCAAACTCTTTTGTGTAAGTTCAGAGAGAATAACCCCATTATGGGAAAAAAACCTAAGGAACCATGAGAATTTTTCATGTAAATGACACCATTTTCAATAATGTTGCTGTGCAATCTTTGCACATGGTCATGCCCCAAAAGCCCATCAGTAAGTCTGACACTGACAGGAAGATGTGGTCTCCCTCCCTTTGGGAAGAAACAATCTTTGGGATGGCATTTATCCACCACACCCAGCCCCCTCTGACTTGACAGAACATGGAAGCACTAAAAAAGCCTGCAAATGCAATTTTCCAAGGGTCAAAATGTGCCTTGAACTGTTTTTGTGCCACTTCACTGGAATAAATCAGTGGAATCACCTAGGTAGGAGGTTAAAAATCTCTGTTTAGCCAAAAATGGCTCTGTCTTGTGAATTAAGACATCAAAATAATCAGAAAAAAAAAAAAATTGCAGTTAACATACCTGAAAAACACAGGCTAGAAAAGGTAGAAAAAAAGCTATCACATTTCCAATTCCTTCGTGGTCCTCCTGTTGGGATTAAAAGAAGTGACAACTACGTCAGGCACAGCTTTTAGCAAGTGCTGCTTGATATTTGAGAACATTATAAATATAGTCAAGAACCTCTTATCCCAGTTTATGTTGATTGACTGTAACAGTGTTAAACACCAAGATCAATATCATTGGATAAGACATCAAGAACTTGAGTCTTATGTGACAGTTCCTGCTAAATAAAACCATCAGGATACAATCAGGACACTTTTTTTTCTTTTTTTTCCTTTTTTAAAGTTGTTTACAGTCTCATGTTTATTTTAAAAAAGTTCCAGAAAAGGATCTAAAATAAAATACAAGAATGGAGTAAAAAAATCCAGGCAGCCTGGTAAGAATAAAACATTTCTCAAAATTTAAACTTCTCTAGAAGAGAATAAAACGCAGAATATTGTGATGAACAGCAAAATACACAAAGTGCAGCAGGTGAGAAAACAACTGCACATTCCCTGGAGAAACAAAACACTTCTTGTGGAAAGATGTGTGCTCAGCTAAGGGGCAGGAGAGCCACCCTTGAACTGGTCACCCAAAAACTCTCTGCTTTTCACTCATTCTCAGGTCTGAGTGCAGTCAGGGTTACCTGAAAGGAATATTCTGCCAGGTGAACTCCTCGGATCAGGTTCAGAGCTCCACACATGATGTTCAGAACAAGTGACAGAATCCCCAGGGGGGTCACAGGCTGCATTCTGTAAGTGGGGACTTGAAATGAAAACCAGACATTAGTGAAAGTTTGCACTATTACTTTCAATCTTTTAACAGAAAACACCACAATTACCTTATGTGGGTTTTAAACACTTTCAAAACCTTTCTTGCTTGCTCCAGGGAAGATTGATTATGAACAGAAACCCCTTTTTTTTTGTTGTTGTTGCATTGCAGTATTCAGTTCTTCACACATCCAGAAATCATCAAGAGCTCTGGAGTATTTTTAAACAGGTGAGCAGCAGACTTTTCCTTGACCTATTTGGCATCAATGTCTTCTCCTGTGGTGCACAAAGATCATTTTTTGTTCATTCCAGCAGATGAGGATGCTCACACTCCTCACAGGTCAGCAGAAAAGCCAGAGGCTTTCACCACCCAAAGGTCTGGGGAAGGGCTTAGATTTCAGCCACCCATCACAGCAAGGCAGCAATCCATCTCCTCCTTAACCAGTAATTAAGTATTTCTTCCCACTGGCAGTTTGAGGGCTCAGGCTGCCCACATTTCATAGGTAGTGAATTATCTGCCTCCTTCCTTTCTCACCTTCTCTGCTACTACTTAACACCCACACTGCTGAACAGCAATTCTGCATGATAATCTCATTGATACATCCCTAATTAAGGTCAAAGTAATTATCATAAATGTGTGTTTAGCTTTAGAATCTGCTGCCTTTAATTCAGGCTTGTCCAAGAGCCCACCTCCAGTCTTCCCTTGCTTGTTCAACAACAAATTCCACACCTCGATCCTCACCTACATTTCATCCCTGCCCTTGGATCACCACAAGTAGGACGCTGTCAGTTTAATAAGAAATGGTAATTTGTAGCTTAGATACCAAATCCAGATCTTCTTCTGCACTAATGTCCCCAGGACACAGGAGAGAATGAAGGAGCCTTCAAGAAAACCATCCAGCCCTCAGAATCTTCTCCCTGTTTCCAGGTGGATCCAGATTATTTATTACAGATAAACTGCACCTCTGGCTTCCTTCTGAATGACAGATGAAACACCACAACAGTCACCCCATGGTTTCAGAGAGGAAAACTCTCCTGCCTTCTCCTTCAAGCCAGATTTTGATAGATGGATGTTAAAAAACTCTGGTGGCAAATTAATATAGGGATGTAAAGCACCTTTCATCCGTGGCTCTGTAATTAATTTGTCTGGCAAGCACTCACACATCCATAATTTCAGCTCCAAAGCAACTGCAGAAGGAACTGTATCAACTCCATTTGATATGTGTCACTTGAGGGAGCGTGGTGTGAGTTACTCTGTCACTCAAAGGCACTTTGGCTTTTCTTTTGCTACACAGTGACATTTAAAAAGAACTTGTAGCAGCATCTTTATCCGTTCCCTGACCCCAGAATTCAGTTTCCTTCTATTTTTTTCCTGCTATTCCTACTTCCTTCTTTTGATTAATTAAATAATGTTGCAGCTACATATACGTGTAACTCCCCCACAGATAATTCCTAATAGAGACTGTTGTTCTTCCTCAAATTCTAAGGTTTACTTCAGAGGCATAAAATGTCTCTCAAACAAATTATAATTATCAAGCACAAGTGTCATTCATTGAGCAAGATCCTGCAAACTACATGTGCCAAGAGCTCCCAGTCCCTAGGGAAGAACAATGTAAATCTCAATATATGGCTTTTGCAGCATGAAATATTATGTAAAAGCTATATTTTTTTAATCCAGGAGGATAAAAAGAATTGCTGCCACAGAGGCAGGGGAGATTAAAACATCCAGTTGCTCAGGGTTCAGATTCCATGAAAACTGGTCTTGAAATGGTTTGCTGCAGAGATTTATTTCTGCTGTTAAATTCTGAGGTTTAACTCACAAACTGAAATTGCACAGAGAAGTGAGATGGGTCCTGCTAAGAGAAAATAATATTTCACTTCCTTGGGTGAAGTCAGTCATATTTTTATAAAGAGAATTTCATACTGGAATGGCCTATTACATTAAATAAGGGAAGAGTACAAACAGTCAGAGACAGCACAACTCTGCACAAACACAAACAAACACTAATTAGGCTTCACATTGATTTGACTCCTCAAGCACAGAAGCTGTGCACTTCAGAGCACAAGATCCACACAGAAATGTTCTGGGAGCTGTGGGTGATGCACCAGCAGGTTTGAACAAGTACAGAATAACTGCAAACACCCTCACACAGTGAAGAAATTGAAACCTCTGCCCATAAAAGATTTTCTGGCAGAGACCTGTGGCCATTTCATTGGAGGGAGACACCAGAGTGTGCAGCAGCTTGGATCTGCCTCCTGCAGGCACAGCACAAGGTTGGACACTGAGTCACTCGCTCAAAGCTCTGCAGAAAGAGAGCCAGGAGTGAGAAATGAAATCACACTCCAACAGCCTCAACTAAAATACAAGCACACAAAAGGCAGAGAGTGAGACAGCTTCATAAACAATCCCTTGCAAAGGCTTCTGAAGGACTCCCTGTGTGCCTATGGAAGATGAAGAGCACTCATGGAGGGGAGAGCTGCAGGATTCACCAGCTCGCCCACAAGATGAGTGGCACAAGTTGTTCTGCTGCTTCCCAGAGCCAGCTGTGATGTGCAAACTCTCTGTGCACAGAAAGCTCCTCAGAGCTGCCCTGTGCCCTGCACACAGCCCCAGTGTCCTCTGGAGCAGCAGCAGCTGTGCCCACACTGACAGGAGCCAGGCTCTGAGCAGCAGCCAGGGCTGTGTGGGTGTTGATCAAGGGTACGAGGGAAGGGTTTTTGCAGCAGGAGTCGGGCTGGGTTTAGTTAACAAAGGAAAGAACACACAGCAGAAAGAATAGAAGCAAGAAAGGAAAAATCTCTTGTTCTCACAAATACTAACAAGGACAAAGCTGCCTTGGCTTTTCTGGCCCTTTTCACACCAAACTGAAGAGCCAGAGGATGAGCTCACCCGGCTCCAGAGAGGCCAGGAGCAGCTCCAGCCGTGTGAGGAGAGGAAGGTTTGGATCATCCCTGCATCGATCAATCTGCACCAGGGAGTGCAGTCACAATTCAATCCTGCTCTCCTGCAGCCACAGCGTTTCAAACAGCCTCTTGTAGAGCAGAGCCATCGTATAAATAACATTAACATGGAACAAACACTGTGCACACAGCTAAACTTAGAGCAGCAAAGTGCGATTCAGCTGGGAGGGAATGATGAGAGGAGAGAGACACAAGCCAGGAAAGCTGACTCCAGTGGAGGCAAACAGATGATCATAAACATGATCCTTAAAATAAAGGCAGAACAATCTGTGAGACTATTTGGGTTAGACCAGAGAGAACAGCCAGAAATAAAAAGCCAGATGGAAAGTAAAGGAAAGCAATTAGGAATAAGAGGGAAGTGAAAATGTATTTCTGATCTGTGGACACAGACTAGATCACAAATATTTACTGGCACTGAAGCTGTTCAAAATTTAAAGAAAAAGTGCAAAGAATTTCTAAGCCCTGTCATAACATGAAAAGATTTAACCTTCAAGCACAATTCTGAGGAGCACTCACAAATCTGACTGGCAAATAAAGTGGTTTCCATTCTATTTTTAATTCCTCCTGGCCAATGCCCTTCCATACTCTAATTTAAAATACCTATGTCAAATTAGATTCCAGCTCATCTATCACAAACAATTAGATTGAGCAACTGGAACTTAATTTTATTAGTGTTTCATAAGCCAAGAACAACAAAAAAAAAAGGAAATACAAGCTCATGGAACTCCAAGCTGCATTTAAACCACCGTGCTAATAGGATTAAAATAGAGTATGGTTTAGTGGTGGACTTGGCAGGGTTTGGTTTCTGCTTGGACTCAATGATCTGAAAGGTTTTCTCCAACCTAAATAATTCTATGATTTCATGTGTGGAGGAGGTAGGCAGGACCTTGACTGTGCAACTGAAACACAAGTGAGAGGTACCATTTTTATTATAAAGTAGTAGAAGTTGGTACTTCAAAAGCAGGTAAAATGTCAATTATTGTTATAAAAAAGGCCCCTGTCAAGCCTCTGTGTTTTTTATACAGATACACAAATCCTCTTTCAAAATTTTAGTCAAATGGGTTAAATTTAAAAAAAAAAATAAGGTAAAAGGAGAAAGCAAAGGGGGGAGAACAACTCATGTCAGACAATGTGGGAACAAGAGTTTTACCCTCAGCTTGCATTTTTTTCATCTTTGTTTCCCTCTAGGCTGAAGAAACTCATTCAGACTGTAATTACAGATCTTTCATTAAGAGTCTGCAACAAGCAGTGAATCAGTGGAGCTGCTTTAGAAATTTGAACAAACAAGAATTTTAAGAGAAGAGAATTCCACATGGAAAATATCAAGCCCAGCCTATATTTTCCATACAGAGAGGAAGATGTAAGGCTGGAAAAAGACCCCCCAGCAGTCTCCAAAGCCCTGCTGCATACCTGCTGCAATGTAAAGCCCATATGTTGTTTACTATGACGGAAAAAGCCTTTTTTTTTGGTTTCACACACACCATGTAAATAAACATTTCTCGATACACAAGGAAGCCCCACGTGTTTTTCTGCCACGTGCAGGGTGAGGAAGTCTCCTGTCACCTCGTGTAGAAGCAACTTACCAACCTCCACATGGCCTCCTGCGTGCCCTCCGTTGCTGAGCCCGTTCAGCAGCTCCGTGGCCTCCAGCTGCAGCTGCACCGGGGGCTGCAGCTTCAGCTCCTCCTCCACCCTCTCCCAGCTGCCCCTGGCCCGGGAGCCACGGGTGCTGTTGAAATGCTGTTTCACCTTCTGAATGATGTTATCTGAAACAACAGGAAAAGCTGCTCAAGTCTCCTCTGAAAAACTGCCTAATTCATCCTTAAGTGTTACTAAAACCTTAATTATGGTGGTATTTTATCTTATCACGGCGTTCTGTTTGATTGTATTAATTTATTTGTTTCTTTTCTTACTGGTTTCAGGCGTAAAATTCCACTGCTGGGTAGGGAACAAAAATACTTCTTTTAGGTATTTTATAGCACAGAAACTTTTGGGATGGAAGGGACTTTAAGGTCCTTAAGTGCTACCCCTATGCTCTGGAACCTTCCATTGTTCCAGAATGCTCCAAGCCCTGTCCAACCTGGCCTTGGACACTTCCAGGGATCCAGGGGCAGCCACAGTTTCTCCGGATCTGGGTAACTGCACCTCCCCACCCTCACAGGAAAGAATTTATTCTAATATCTACTCTAAATAATAATAAAAATTATCTGTAACTACCGAACAAAATATTAAAATCTTAAGCATCAAGTGCATCTTAGATCCAAACACAGGAAAGAAGATGATTAAGTTAATAAATAAATAACTACACAGCAATATTAGGCACTCAGTAACTTAATAAAGTATAATAGTAAAAATTATTTTACAGATGTATTTTTTCTTTAAAAAAATAAGATTTATGCGATTAAAAGAGGCCAGAAATTCCCCAACTCCTACTCAAGTTAAAAAAAGCAAGAAAAGGAGTAATGTGGATCTGAATATGAAATTACATCCTGGCTGTGCCCTGCAGGGAATCTACCCAAAAATCCAAGATGGGTCTAAAAGAAGCTTTCCTGATGGATTTCTCAAGTTTTTAAGCCCAAGTTTAACACTGTTACTGAAATCTGGACTGAAGTGTGCAAACATGCTGCAGCATATTATCCTTTTCCAGAAAACTCTCACTGCAAGGGAATTGTGTCTTTCAAAGGTGTGAGGTTCAGTAGAGCAGCCACCACTTGGCAAGAAAACCAATTATTTCAGGTTAAAAAAAACCACTGGCATGGTTCTGAAGTATTCTGACTCCAAGTCATGCCAGAAATAAAGCTGCCCATAATAATCTATCCTGTCTCCCTTTTTTCCTGTACTCATCTGTCTCCACTCATCAGATTTTTTAAATTAAGTTAGAAAGTGTCTGAGGTATCAATTTCTTTTTTCTTTTCTGCTTGTTCATCAATCACCAGAGCATTTTGTTCATAATAGATGAACTCTCAGGAACTCCAAATACTCAAATAGTTTAGGGCATTAAGATCCTCACTCCTCCTCCTCCACATGCAGGCAAAGGCACACCCCGAGTCACTTTCATCATCAGCCTCTGGCCAGGAAATGTTAACACCATAAACTTGGCAGAGAGAGGATTTTTACTATTAGAGAAGAAAGTTACAAACCAAATTCAATAAATGCATATGGTCTGGAAGCTGAATTTATGCTCCTTGTGTTGTAGGAAGCAGCAAATTCCCACCGAAGCTCTTCCAGGAAGCAGAAGGCCATGATGGTTGAGTAGCTGCTGGAACAGATTGCCATGCAGGCAATATCCCCAGAAGAAAGGAAACTGAAATAGAAATTTTGAACAATCACATCAACACAAAAAGGTGAAAGTCCTGCTGAACGTGAGGATGAAGCTGTGCTTTCTGTCAGAACAAAATGTACAGACTGAGCTGAGAGCAGACTGCAAAAAAAGAGATTTTTGTTGTTGTCAAAGTCCTGCAATTCCTGTAGATCTATTTTTTCTTATACAATTATTTATTCTTAACTCATCCAGGATGCTGAGCACAGTGAAGAGCATAACACAGACTTTATTAAATTGGTACATCAGTACAAATCGAGGACATTCTTTTCCCAGGCTGGCTTTAAATCACATTAATAAAAACCAAGGTGGTCAATTTTGAAAGAAAATGCAGAAAAGAAGTAAAAGCAAGGAAGTTTGCTCCCAGGAAGCAGATTGATTCCTTGCTTCCCTTAAACATGGCAACATCATATAAACAGCAAGAAATATCTGCTAATTTGCACAGCCCAAGATTTTCAAACACTTCCTGCTACATCACAATAAAAATTCTACTCTAAAAGGGACTCCTCTAACACTGAATCCATATTTATGTAAAAGTTTCCACTTGCAGATGGTCCAAACCTACCAGGAGATTTCTCAGGGATATCTTCCCTTGCAGCCCATCCATTTGTCAGCAGGAAATCAGTTTAACACCCAAGCTTTGAAACTGAACAATTTGTCTCTTTCCTACTGTTCCTATATTTCATCCCAGCTTCATCTCACACTCATGGCTTCTATTTCATTTCCATTTCATTTTTATTTATTTGCTGCACAGCGGATTTGGGATTTACAGTTTTGTTTGGCTCTGCCAGACCCAGTTCCACTGGGGAGCTTCCCCAAATTCCTGCTGCTCCCAGCTCCCAGCTGGGATCAACACCATGCCTGCCTAACACCACCTTTTCCAAGCTGTCCATAATTTATGGCCTTTCTGCCACGGATCCATTTGCACTGCTCTCATTCCAGAGCCAGGGCTGAGCTGCTGCACACACCACAGCAGATGAAAAAGCAGCAGGACTTGTTGGCATCAAAGGGCAGAAGTTTGCTTTGAGTGAAAAGGAATTGAGATGAAAATCTCTGCTTTTCCAACTGTTTCAGTGTAAATTCTTGTATTCTTTAACTCCCCCCAAAAAGGGATGCTTAGTTATAGCTTAGGGTCCCTTTAAGTTTTCTCCCATTTGCTCACCAGAAATACAATCACAAGCTAAAATGCACTTCTTAAATGAGTTTTAAACAAGTTTCTTCATTTATTTCTCTGTAATTTCTTTTAATAAATTTCTTCTCCTAAACTAAAACATTCCAAGGCACTTGGATGCCTTCTTAAAGGGATTTGTAGAAATCCATGATACTCCAGTTACTGAGAGTAACAAGTACTGCCCATTGAGCAGGAGGCTTTTTGCTACACAAAGTGAAAATTAAAATGAGCCAAATAAGAAAAATATATATAATTATATAACTAAATATGTAAAAATATTGTGTATGTGTATATAAATATGTAGCTTAATAGATATAAATATCATGTATGTATATGGAAATATTTATATAGAAATATTTATATGGAAGTATTTATATGGAAGTATTTATATATGTACATATATAAATATAAGTGTAAACTAAAATCTGTGCAAATATAATATAAAATTAATAACAGTTATGTGAGTATACTTGTATAAAGTAACACACAAAATAGATGAATATATAAAAATATATAATAATATATATAATATATTATATATAATATGATATATAATATAAATATATATTATATATGATAGCTTATATATTATATAATATATAATATATCATATATAATATATAATGCATATTTTATATCATATAATACATAATATAATTTTATGTATAATAAAATATATAAAATAAAGACATAAATGTATAAATTATATGTAAATATATAAATATATAAAATATAATAAAATATATAAAATAAAGACATAAATGTATAAATTATATGTAAATATATAAATATATAAAATATATTAATTTATATTAGTTATATATTAATATATAATAAATAAATTATAATATAATATAATGTAATGTAATATAATATAATATAATGTAATAAAATGTAATATAATATAATATAATGTAATATAATGTAATATAATATAATATAATATAATATAATATAATATAATATAAATAGAAAATAGAAATTATAGAAATATAAGTATATAAATATATATGAATATATACAAATATATACAAATATATAACTAAGCACATTCTCACTACACTGAGCAGGAACTGAGGAATAAAGTTTCAAAATCATTGGATTTCACAGCCTAGACAAGCACTGTGGGATTTCAGACTGGAATTAGGCACTGCAGACCACACCCAGGGCATTATTTCAATAGAATACTAATCCCCAAGAGCATTATTTCAAAAATTAAAGCCAGAAACACCCCAGCAGAGCAGAGCAGGGACTCACTGAATGCTCAGGTTACGTCCTTTCGCTGTGCCCCGGCTGGGATACCGCGCCAGGATCGAGGATAACGCCTTCAGTCTTTTCCTGCATTCCAGAAAGTCCTGGTTGAGATGGAAATCTGTGGAGGCTGAGAGGGGAAGCCCATCCTTCACCCGCACCACACAGGCAAAGAAGATCAGGGACATTCTCCACGGGAGTATTCATGAGGACAACCTGCAAATGAAAGATTTAAGTCAGTTCATTTCAAAATTCCAGGCAGGAATGTGTGAGGATGAGGCTCAATTCACCACTGGAACTGAACAGCACCTCTGGTGACACCTCTGCTATTGCAAGGCAACCAAATTCTTCTCAAAGCTCGTGGCTGTGCCAAATTCTTGCCTCTCAGATCAAAATATGAGGCAGGGGATTTGACAGAGGAATTATCTACCTGAAAAATATTCCTGTTTTCTCTCCTGCTTTGTCCAAAGAATCAGAAATGCTGAGTGAAGTTCTCAGAGGTGTTTGTGGAAGCTCCTGAGCCCCACTGATGTGGTGCATCTCCACTGGAGCTCTAAAAGCTGCCTGAGCGTGGCACTTCTCTATTTTCTAGCGTAACACACAAATCTAAAAATAAGTTTTAGGCTATAGCCTGTCAGGTTCTTTTTACAGACTCACCTAGGGCTAAATATAGACTAAAAGTTGCCCTCTCTTGACTTCTTCCTCTTTAAGAGGTCACAAACTCCCATGGAAAGTTATTCTTGGGCTTCACCTGGCATATCCAGAACATGCAGAGATGTGTCCTTCAGACATACCATGAGGATCCAGGGCACGGTGTCAGAGGATTAACAGCACTTCATATCATCTCTGAAAGAGAATCAGAATGAAATAATTAAAAATTAGTTTAAAAAGCTAATTAATTACCTGTATTTACATGTGTATTTACCATCAGATCTCCTGTGAAGCAAGGAAAACATATCCTAGGAAGTGCTTTGTGTGAAGGAAAACAATTAAGGGATTACCACAAACAACTCAAGGAATAAAAAAAGGGAAAAAAGGAAAACCAAAGGCATTTACTTGGCTTCAGGCAAACAACATAAATAAAGCATTGGGGAAATAAAAAGAAGGAAAAAAACCCCACACTTTGCGAACTCACACTTTTGATAGAGAGAACTGCTTTGACCAGCCCTGTATCACACAATTCATTAGGATGCTCAAAGTGTCTTTGAAATGTGGCTCATCAGGACAAGCTTTTCCTGTCTGAGAAGTCCAGACAGCAAAACCTTTTCCAATTCAGGCACCCCAAACTCTCCTGATGTCTGATAAGGGCTGAGTTCTTGCCACAGGCAGCACTAAGAGGGTCTCATTTCTACCCCACAGGAATCATTCCCACAGAAATTGTGGGAACCATCCCTCTGTCCAAGATGCCAGCACTTTAAAGCAACTGCAATTATCAGAGGATAATTATCAGAGGAATTAGCAGAAAGCACAATGAAGGCACAAAACTTGTTTCCTTAGAAAAGCAGATTAAAACTACGGAAGATCAGACATCTCTTGAGAAGTGTTGTCTTGAACTTTTCAAATGGAGATTAAAGAATTAGATGTGATTTTTTTTTTCCACAATCCCTCTCACAGTTCTCCTCCAGCTGTCATTTAAGTTGTAAAAGCAAACTAAGTTCACCAACTTCAACACACATCAAGAAGAATTTCAACAATAATCGTGATTATTATAAATCAGTTTGAAACATCCCATCAATCTCCAATGTGCTCGTAGCCATTGATAAAACAGTGCAGAAAACTTTTACATGAAAGTGAAATAAACCAAAACAAAAAAGAACTTTAACAGAAATATTAACTTTTACACAGCCAACTTCTAAGCACAGTTGCTCAGAATTGCAGCTTTAGAATGAAGGGTTGGTAATATTGATGAAGTTTAGCTCCAAAATAATTCCAGGACAGCCAGAAGATGATCAGGACGACAAGAAAGAAACAAACTGAAAAATCAAAGACATTTTCTAAAACCTACCCAGCCCATTAAATTATTCAGCTCCCTATGCCACTAAGAGCAAGAGTTTAAATGTAAGTATCTATATTTTGTATTAATCACCAAGGATAACATCACCTACAGTTAACCAACTGCACATATGAAGTTTTCCAACTTTCCAAGACATACAAACCTTCCTGCTGCAGCACCCAATGCTGTCACTGAGTATCAGCTGCCCATCAGAGGGATCCTTTGGTCTGGGAAAGAAAGATCAGGTGTCCACCAGGAAAACTTCACAATTAAATGCCAGAATTCACTGGAGAAATGAGTCCTTTGGTTTTCCCTTTGGCACAGCCCTTGCTACTTTCCCATCAGATGATGTTCAGGGCTGTGTTGCTCTGGCAAGTGACAGCCACCAACGGCACTGCCCTTGGAATTTTAACTACTTGCAAGCCAGTTTTGCCACGTCACCTGTGTCCAAGCACAAAGTATCACAGCTTGCTGGGCTGATCAAGGTGTCCACGTAAGGAGGTGGCTCAATGCTGTCACTGTGTCACACTGGCTGCCCTTTCCTCCTGCAGTCTGTCTGTCTGCACACCATCAGCAGCCCAAAGATCTGCAAGCGCCTGTACGTGGCAGCTCTTTGACCTCGGCTCTGAACTTGGACAATGAACTCAAGGCTTTGGATTCAAATCTTGCAGAGTTCACAACTGATAACATCATGTCAGCATCAGAACACCTGTTCTGGCATAAAGCAGAACCATGGGAATTATTCCAAGCAATTGTTTCAGAAGAACAAGTTATAATTTATGACTAAAAGAAACAAAGCCGTGTTTTCATTTCTTGAAGCACCTGTACATCCAACAATGCTTCAGAATAAAACTGCCTAGTGCAAGACTCACATTAACAGCACCAATCTCAGAATAAACAATTCTTCAGCGTACCTAAGCCACCTGGAGCACAATTCCCCCTTCCCTCACTTCCTAGGGAGCAGCCAACTCTCCAGTGGCTGTGTAGGGATTATCAAGGCAGCCTCAATCAGACATCCTGCACTTTACTGCGTGTTATGCAAGCTCTTCTGGCTAAGAAGATTACACCCAACTCACCAGGCCACACTTCCCCAAATGCTCAACAAACTCCTGCTTTATTGCCTGGACTTAGAAAACAATCTGCTCAAAAGGCTGTGAAAGCAAATGCAAACCAGTGCAGAGTTCATAAGGGGGAATTCTATCAAAAACCTGGTTCTTTCAGAAATTACCTCACCATCAAAAACAGGTTTCATTCCAAGAATGGCACAGTGCTCACAAAAAATGTGACCAGGATTTCTCTCAAGTATTTGCTGTCTGTCCCTGTTCAGAAACACATTTCCCTGCTCTCTAGTGGTGTCCAGCTTCAACCCTATCTGTTTTGTCCAGTTCTGACCTTCCTGCTGAAGGAAGAGCCAAAAGCTTTAGTGGATGTTACCATGGCCCTGAAGCAGGATGTGAAGTGCTTTTGACACATGACAGTTTGATATATGACAACTACCACACTAAAGAATCCTTCCTCAGGCAGGTGATCTCCAGAGGGAGTCCTGGACAGCTACAGGTGGGATGAACATGAAAGAGATTCAGGTTGACTCATCAAACACAAAACCAGAACTGCAGCTCCAGTGCTGCTTTGGGTCTCACCCAACAAGGATGTGGTTCATGAGGGAGATTTATCACATCCCTGAGGGATCATGAACTGGAGTTTATCTTCATCTCGGGTGTATTAAAACAACAAATTCAGAACACTGTTAAATTTCTCATTTTCTAAGATTGCAACAGTATCCACCTGATCCTTCCCAGCTGATCTCCTTCCAACCCCCCAGCAGTGCTGAGCAGCTACAGACACCCCAGACCCACTCTCCAGACTGAGCAGTGAATAAAAGCAATTTGAAAACACGCTGCTATCTCAAAATTTAACACAGGATTTGTGCACATCCAGAGCTTTTAGGCTCCTATAAATCCTACAGGCTTACTCTTATCCCCAAGGGGAAGCATGTGGAAAACCCTTACCATCACAAATCTGTCCGCACACACTCCTGTGGATTACCAGAAATAAAGCACACACAAACCTCCAACCCCAGCATCCAGCTCCCACTATTCCAACAGGAAATCCCCCAAACCCTTTCCCAAACCACACTGCAACAACTCTGTGATGCTCTGAGGCTCCGCCTCACCTTCATCTCTCAGAAACACCAGCCACTTCACCTGTTCTCAAATATTCACCCACCCCACCTGCCTGAATCCTCCCCAAACCCAGCAGCTCATCCCTGTCCCTTCACAAACCTGTGTAACTAAGGATCCATCCCACATGCATCCTGTTCCACTCACATTATACAGAACTACACCCTACCCACACCTCTCCCTCCCCATTAGGCATCCTAAAATCCCCAAAAGAACCCCCTTGCCACACTCTTCAATAAACCCGGGTACCTTGACAGCAAACATACCCATGCCTTCCCTCGGGCTCTGCTTTGTACTGACAAGGCCTTGCACACATCCCTCGAGCACGGAGACACCGCAAATCCATCCCGCGGCTCCCAAACCCTCACGTTATCCCTGCTCACCCCAAGCCATCCCCAACCCAACCCACACCTCCTCCTCTACCCCTCAAGCACCCCAAGGAACCCCCAAACCTTATATCCAAGCCACGGGATCCCAATCCCAACACACACACATCCCCTCGCTCCC